CTGGGATGCGACAGGGAGGAGCTGTTCATAAGGACAAGGAACGAGGGCGGACCTACGCGAAAGAGGATACAACCAGCTCGACATTGGCAACCACTTGCAGTCAACGCGCGTAGTAAAGACGCACGCCTTTTCTACGGTACCCTTGCGTCCTTGCCTCTGCGGCCCGTCCTTTGCCGCTTCCACCGGCCAGCCTCTCGGGGTGCCCTTGGAGCGGGGCGCCGTCGGACTGGCGCCCTCTCTCGGCTGCGCGGCGGGGCGCTCCTCGAGGGGGCGTCTCCAAGGACGCGGGCTACAGGGGTACTCTTGGCCGTCCTTTGGCGCGTCGCCCTCGCCCGTGGCTCAATTTGCGGGCGGGCGTGGCCTTCAGGGCGATGGCCGAGCAGGGTTCCTTGGGCCGTCCTTGGGCGCACCGCCGCTGCCCTCGGTCGCTTTCTTCCGTCGCGGGCGGGCGTTGCCTCGAGGACGTGGGTCGCTTGTGCGTCTCGCGCTACACAGGGGAAGTGTTTGGACTTGGCATCCCTCGGACGTGTGCATTTTTTCTTCGGTGAGGACCATCGAGGAGCATCCTTGATCGTTTGGCGAAAAAACCACGCACGAAATCCAAAACACACAGGGGATGGACGTCCGAGCGATGGCGAGTTGGAGCACGAATGCATCATCTCATGTTGAGGCCCAGAACGCAAGTGGCACAGTTTTTCCTCGGCCCGTTTTCGGGTGACCCACCCGCTGTTGGGACATTCGCGCGCTGCGCGCTACACAGGGGAAGCGCACGGAGTACGAGCGCACCAGCTCACGTTGAGGCCCAGAACGCACGTGAAGCAGTTGTTGGCGCTTCGCGTACCACCAGCACATCCAGAAGCAGATGGCCAGGCGAGTTGCCTTGATCAGGGAAGTGTAGAAGCATGCAGTGTAACAACCGCCCTGGGATTGTTTTATTGGAGGCCTCCTGGAGCCATTTTGGGTCTCTCTTGGGGTCCTTGCGGACCCACGTGGGGCACTCTTTGAGCCCTCTGGGGGTTTTGCTGGGGGGCCTAAAGGCCTTCTTGGGGCTCTTTGGGGAGGTCTGGGAGTCCTCTCGGGGCAATGTTGGGCACCACTGTTCAAAAAGAGAGGGGGGTAATCAATGCAGGTCCGAGCACTCTTGGGGCGCTTTGGGGGCGTTCTTCGGGCTGTTGTGTGGCCCTCTTGGGCCCCTCTCGGTGCTCAGTTGGGCCTCTTGGGGCCATCTTGGAGCCTCAGGTATTGGAGCAATGTTGGCCTCTTGGGGGCTTCCTTTGGCGGCTTGAAAGGCACTTGACACCATCTTGGGGCCGTCTTGGAGCATCTTGGAGATGAGGTGGAAACCATAGTAAGCCATCTTCAGTTCTCTTGAGCCATCTTGGAGGCCATCCTGGGCTCTCTGAGGCCCTCTCGAAACCATCTTGGGGCCTCTTTTACGCTTCAACCCCTCGCGGGTCGCCCCGTCTAGACCCAGGGGAGGGGGTCCGGGGAGGAATCCAGACACCCCCCTTGATAGCAAACCGTCTAGCTCACTCCCACCCGCCCTCCCAACACATAGGTAACACCGGGGCCTCTGCATGATCAGCGGTCGTCTTTGGATGGGCAGCTACTGGGAACCAAAACCGAACCCATGTGCGCGACGCTGGGGCGAGGTGTGCCACGCGTGCCAGGCACCGCTGGGGCTCGAGCGCGTCAGGCACGCCTGGTGCGCCAGATGCGCCGCATGTGCCAGGTGCGCCTGGTCCGCCGCCTACTCCAGCCGCGCCAGGTGCGCCACGTTCGGGGCACGTACAGAGTATGTCAGGTGCGCTTGCGCACTTGACAGCACACATCGTGAAACAGGTCGGCCCCCACCATCCTTGTCGAAAGCCAATGCCTATCGTTGTGTCTGGTGGTCTGCGCACAGCAGGCCATACGCCACCACCCCAACCGTCCCTGTCACACATCTTTGACAGTGATCCGGGGATGGCCATGCATGATCCAGAATCCAGATTGAGCCGCGACGTGCAGTTTGCATTGTTCCCAACCATCCTGTGGTGTTGGGTCCTCGTTTTGAAGAGACAGCGCCCCGCGTTCCTTCCTCCTCCGGCTGCCCCCTCCCTCCTCCAATCATAATCATCATCATCATCACCATCATCACCATCACCATCATCGTCATCATAAGCATCATCATCATCAGCATCATCATCATCATCATCATCATCGTCGTCGTCGTCGTCATCATCATCATCAACATCATCCTCATCATCATCATCAGCAGCATCATCATCAGCATCGCCATCACAATCATCATCATCATCATCATCACCATCATCATCATCATCGTCATCATCATCATCAACATCATCATCATCATCATCATCATCATCCTCATCCTCCTCCTCATCATCATCATCATCATCATCACCGATCTCGGCACCGCCCCATGTTGGTACACCCCATTTGGGCACCTCTCACGAGGATCGTGGCCCCATAGGAGCTCCACCGAAGGCGCCAGTAGCGAAGTTCGCATGGCGGCCTCGGGCCATTTCGGCACACCCCTCACGAGGATCGTGGCCCCATATCAGTTCCACCGAAGGCGCCTGTAGCAAAGTTCGCATGGCGGCCTCGGGCCATTTCGGCACACCCCTCACGAGGATCGTGGCCCAATAGGAGCTCCACCGAAGGCGCCAGTAGCAAAGTTCGCATGGCGGCCTCGGGCCATTTCGGCACACCCCTCACGAGGATCGTGGCCCCATATCAGTTCCACCGAAGGCGCCTGTAGCAAAGTTCGCATGGCGGCCTCGGGCCATTTCGGCACATCCCTCACGAGGACCGTGGCCCCATAGGAGCTCCACCGAAGGCGCCAGTGGCAAAGTTCGCATGGCGGCCTCGGGCCATGTCGGCACACCCCTCACGAGGATCGTGGCCCCATAGGAGCTCCACCGAAGGCGCCAGTAGCAAAGTTCGCATGGCGGCCTCGGGGCATTTCGGCACACCCCTCACGAGGACCGTGGCCCCATAGGGAACTCCACCGAAGGCGCCAGTGGCAGGGTTCGCATGGCGGCCTCGGGCCATTTCGGCACACGAAGAGGGAACAGCGAAAAATCTTCACCCGAACACGGGAAGGAGGGATTCTGGGCAGAGAGAAGGCAAGACTCGCTAAACCATGCACGCCCAGAACGCACAAATTCATGCTGAGGCCCAGAACGCAAGTGAAACACATGGGTTCCGGTCAACTCTCCACTGGAGAAGCGTATGGAGCACATTTGCACCACGTCATGCTGAGGCCCTACACGCATGTGAAGCAATCTGTTTTTCTCCACCGGTCCTCGGGTGACCCACCCGCTGGGGGGCCACCGCGCGCGCTCCACAGGGGGAGCGTATGGAGCACGACTGCACCAACTCATGTTGAGGCCTAGGATCGGGGCGTTGAGTAAGGTCCACTTACTTTTCGGAAAGGGGCTCGGCCGTTCCTTAGGTTTGCATGTGTTCCGCACCTTTTTGGGTGGCGAGCCCCCTGGCGTCCCCAAGGAAACATAGGGGCTTCGCTCCTTATTTATCGTTCCTTAGGTCAACACCCCGACTGTAGAGTTGCGAGTGAAACCGTATAGAGCACGATGGCACCAACTCGTGTCGAGGCCCAGAATGCATATGAAACCGTGTGTTTTCTCAACCACCTTGCGGGTGACCCACCCGCTGGTGGGTCACCTGTACGATGCGCGCTCCACTGGGGAAGCGTATGGAACACGATTGCACCGAACCATGCTGAGGCTCAGAATGCACATGAAACGGCTGGCTTTTGTCAACCAGCGTTCGGGTGACCCACCCGTTTGTGGGTCACCTGTGCATTGCGCGCTACGCAGGGGAAACGTATAGAGCGCGATTGCACCAACACATGTTGAGCCCCCCAACATGCAACAATTGGTTCTTCTCAATCAGTTTTCGCGTGATCCACCCGCTGGTAGGTCACCTGTGCGTTGCGCGCGGCACATGGGAACCGTATAGAGCATGATTGCACCATCTTATGTTAAGGTCCATCATGCGAATCAAACCGTGCGTTTTCTCAACCACGTTTCGGGTGACCCACATGTTGGTGGGTCACCTGTGCGTTGCGCGCTGCACATGGGAAGCGTATAGAACACGACTGCACCAACTCATGTCGAGTCCCAGGATGCAAGTGAAACGGTGGTTTTTCCTCCACCAGTTTTGGGGTGACCCACCCGTTGGTGGGTCACCAGTGCGTTGCGCGCTACACAGGGGAAGCGTATGGAACAGGATTGCACCAACCCGTCTTGAGGCCCAGAATGGAAGTGAAACATCTGGCTTTCCTCAGCCAGTTCTCGGGTGACCCACCCGACGGTGGGTCACTTGTGCGTTGCGCGCGACATATGGGAAACGTGTGGAACACGATTGCACCAAGTCATGTCGGGGCCCAGAATGCAAGTGAAAACAACTGGCTTGTCCACCAGTTTTCGGGTGACCCGCCCTTTGGTGTGTCACCTGTGCGCTGGTCTTTTTTCCCAACCATCCTGTGGTGTTGGGTCCTCGTTTTGAAGAGACGGTGCCCCGCGTTCTCCTTCCTTCCTTCCTTCCTTCCTTTCTCCCGCTGCCTCCTCCCCCCTCCCATCATCATCATCATCATCATCAACACCCATTTCGGCACACCCCTCACACGTTTCGTGGCTCCATAGGGAGCTCCACCGAAGGCCCCAGTGCCCGCGGCCGCATGCGTCCCCCACACCCATTTCGGCACACCCCTCACACGTTTCGTGGCTCCATAGGGAGCTCCACCGAAGGCCCCAGTGCCCGCGGCCGCATGCGTCCCCCACACCCATTTCGGCACACCCCTCACACGTTTCGTGGCTCCATAGGGAGCTCCACCGAAGGCCCCAGTGCCCGCGGCCGCATGCGTCCCCCACACCAATTTCGGCACACCCCTCACACGTTTCGTGGCTCCATAGGGAGCTCCACCGAAGGCCCCAGTGCCCGCGGCCGCATGCGTCCCCCACACCCATTTC